AACTTGGGGGGGGGGAACACCAGCAACTGCTGATTATGTTAGAAACAGCAAGGCTGCAGCCTCAGTCCCCATTCAGCTTTCTAAAGAAGGAGCATCCATCGTTTCTGACTGTGGCCAGAACCAAATAAACTTTTTAAAGAATAATCCTGTCAAAGAGATAATGCTTTCCTTTCTTTCTTTCTGAGCATTACTCAGTTTAAAACTATGGATGTCTATTGCTTCTTATTAGTATGAACTTAAAACCTTTTATGGCCACCTTTTGCCTGGAGGATTCCAGGGCTGCTTGCAAGTGTGACAAGGGGAGCATCGGCAGTGGGCCAAGAAGGAATCGGATCCAACCTGCTCCTCTCTGGATGGGCCTGGGAGGCAGCTACTGAGTGCAGCACGCGGGGACTGGCGCCAAGGGAAGAGGAGAGGGCTCACGGGCTGGCTTTCTACCAGCCACCTTGCACTGAACAGACTCTTCTTCGATTTCCCACCCACCCTCCCTTTTACACACACACACACACACACACACACAACATACACACATGCATGCACGCAGACACACACAGAGTAGTGGATCCCGCAGATGAAGCCGGCGCATGCCAAACTCGCTGAAGGGGTTCCAGGGGAAGGATGAGCCTGCCACGCTTCAGCCAAAACCACCAAGTGTCAATTCAACACAGCATGCAAAAAAGCGACATGCTGGACTGCCCAAGTCGGAGACATGCTGGTGACAGAGGACATGACATAACCTGAAGTTCTCCTCTGCTTCCTTCTGCAAAGGAGAGAAAACAAAGAAGAGGGAAGGAGAGAGCAGGGCAGATGTTAGTCACAGGCTGAAGAGTTCGGAAAGCGCAACACAGAGGCCCCCGGGCTGCTCCGGTGGCTTCCCCCAAAGCAGAAGGAAGTCTGATGAGGCCTGAAAAACTGCTCCAGTATGCACAACTCAGCTTTGCGTATATGTAAAAAGCAGAGTGTGTGTGTGTGTGTGTGTGTGTGTGTGAGAGAGAGAGAGAGAGAGAGAATGTGTGACTGATGTTCTTAGAAAACATTCCCTCCCTCCTTTTTATTAAAAACTACTCACATTCATTTCCTACTAAGACATAATAATTGGGATTCAGGGTTATATAAAAGACAAGTAAAATTCACTAGAAAGGCTCCAAGCACAGAGAGGCACATCCGATCGATCTCTAGAAGGCCAGCAGGATCCGGCACCTGAAGACAAACCACAGATGGAAACTTCCCCACCCACCCCGAGGGCCCCCCCAAGGGACTGTGAAGGAGCCCCACCCGCCACATGGAGAGACCAGCCTCTGGAACGGGTCTCTTTGTGCCCAGAATAAAAAGGTCAAGGGAAGACGGAGCAACAGAAGCTAAAGAACCTACTAGTAGACCATTATGCACTGTCACAACACCTCGACTCTTAGTGGAAAAAACCTAAATCACACACTTGCATCGCCCCCATGAAGCTTCCTTCAAACAAGAACTGAGATTAACTCCTGTAATGAACTGTTTTGTTTCGTCTGTGAGAGAGAAGGTCTTGTCCCTCTAGACAAGGTAATCAAGGAAGCAACGGACACTTATCTTCTCCCCCAAAATAAGACCTAACCTGAAAATAAGCCCTGGTATGATTTTTCAGGATGCTCCTAATATAATCCCTACCCCCAAAATAAGACCCAGTTAGGTGAAACCCCAAGGGACGTGGTGGCTCTGCGGGCTAAACCGCAGAAGCCTGTGCTGCAGGGTGAAAAGGCCAAGCAGTCGTAAGATCGAATCCACGTGACGGAGTGAGCGCCTGTCGCTTGTCCCAGCTCCTGCCAACCTAGTGGTTCAAAAGCATGTAAATGCGAGTAGATCAATAGGTGGGAAGGTAACAGCGTTCCGTGTCTAAGTCACACTGGCCACGTGACCACGGAAGATTGTCTTCGGACAAAACGCTGGCTCTATGGCTTGGAAACGGGGATGAGCACCACCCCCTAGAGTCGAACAGGACTGGACAAAAATTGTTAAGGGGAACCTTTACCTTTACCTAGGTGAAACCCCGCCCTCTACCCTTGTGCATCAGCCAGAAGAAGATGACTATAAAATAAAACATCCCCTGACAATAAGCCCTAATGCATTTTTGGAGCAAAAAATTAATATAATACCCTGTCTTATTTTCAGGGAAATACAGTAAAATGCAAGTGGTTTCAACTCTGGATGGGTTTTTGGAGGGGGGAGGGAAGGCAGAGAAATATATTAGGAAAGCTACTAAGGGCTTCTGCTGTGGCAACTAAGCAGGTTCAAGGGAAAGCCTGAAAAATGGCAGGATGGGACAGGATTGGGGTGGGAAGGGGGTTGCGAAATATAATAGGCGGTCCCTCCCTCCCTCTCTCCCTCCCTCTGGAAAGTCATGCTGCAGAACCGCTCTCGATTTTCTCCAGGCCTCTCTTTTCAGCACCACGGCCAGCGCCAATCCAACCCGGGCAAAGAAAGGAAAGCTACAGCAGCTTGCTAAATTTTGGAGATTATAGAAGTCCAGAACATCCAATCATTTTGTTTCAAATTCACAAAAAATAAAAATAAAATAAATCTTTTCAAATTGTAAATCTTGTATTCCTTAATAAAAAGTTTTTTTAAAAAAAAGCAACACACACGAGGACAGATTTAGACATAATAGTTGGAAAACTGTACCCTTTCATGTGTTTACTTTAAAAAAAAGTACGCTCCTACTTGAGAAACGTGGTGCAAACACCAGTTAATTCCTAGCAACTATCTTTGTTCCACTTCTAGTAATGATTCTGTGTCACATGAAGGAAACAAGCAATTAAGAAAATGAATGGCTCATTACAAGCTTCCCAATAGTGCTAAAACATCAAATGTTTTACTTCCAAGACCTCTTGCTGTTATATTTTGTTTCAAGAGCATGGCCTGGAAACCACCGGTTAGAGATTCTAGCTGTCTGGAGCAGCCTCTGCTTACCAACTCACTCTACCTGAGCAAGGTTCCCGTTTCCCCCCCAACGGTCAAAGGTCTTCTTGCATTCCGTTCAGAGCAGTCTGCTTCAAAGGGTGTGGCAAATGGTCTGGATTTTGCAAGCCCCCCAGAAAAACTGACCTCTCTCCTCCTGCTCGCATTTCAAAGACTCAGAACCATGGTCCAATTTTCTAGCTGCAGGATGGCTGGAGAAGGGGGACTCGCTCTCCTAGGACTGTTTGGTGGTTGGATCTGGGCCCCAGGAAGTCGATACTGCTCACTGGGGCACCTGAAATCTGTTCTGCCACTCACTGACCTTCCGAACCATTGGATGATCCCCTCACCTACGCAGAACCTTTACTGCCTTGCCCCCCGGGCCTTGACCTCCTGCCTCAGGCCATACAGAAGCCAAGGTCCAGAGGCCGTGGCTCACCCATGCCGAGGGTCCTGGGCGCAGGCATGTCCCCCTCGAGCTGCACAGTGAGGAGAAGTCGTCCGGCAGCTTTGGAGGCACATCAGGCACCCGCTCCCCCTTGCCTCAGCTGCTGTGTCTGCAGCGAGCACCCGCAGCTCTGGAAGCCTCCTGGAGGCAGCCGATCCCTCCAGGGAGTCCCGGATATTCCCCACACTCCCAATCTGCTGGAGCAGGAGGTCCCAACAGGCAGAGACCGCTGTGGCCCCTAAACGGTCCACCTGCGGCCAACGGCAAGTGTCGCCTCGGCCTCCCGTTCTTGCAGGGCAGCGACCGAGACTCTCCCGAGGGCCACCTCCAGTCTTTGCCGTCCCTCTCGGCCTTCAAGGAGATAGGCACTCGTGACCCAGCGCACTAGAGGGGATTCCTACGGGGCTAATCCTGAGAAGACTGAGTCACGTGCAAGAAGCAAGATCCGGTGGCGATCTCTTTTAGGGACAACAAAGGCTCCTCTGCAGCTGTGAATAAAGGCCAAGAGCACAGAGGCTGTTTGGGACCAGCGCACGGCGCCTGTGCTCCAACTGGATGTCCCTTCTAGGGCTCTGCAGGAGGGAAGGGTGCCGTGGCAGAACTCCACCAGAGAGCTGCAAAGCGAAAGCCCGTTGGGCAGACCCCACCTTAACCCATCTTCACCTTCCCTTGCCTACATACTTGGGAAACGAGGGTGGGGTCTTGGCTCAACACCCGTCCTCTGGCAGTGATCAGAATAAAGGGCAGGCTTGCACCCTCTGAAGCCCCGCGCCTGGAAGCCCCTTCCCCCTCACGCTCAGAGAACATGCCCTCTCAATGTCCCTAGAGAGGGAGGCTCCTCATAAGGGTCGTGGCAACCAACCAGTACGATTTGGCAACCCCCTTCCCTCCCCCATAACCCCGCAGAAACTAGATCCTGGCTGGCAACTTCTGTGAGCAGCAGCCATAGCTCGGTCCTTCCCTTTGGCTGAACACCGAGCGCGTCTCCACCTGCAAGAGACAACCTATGTCCGTGGGGCAGCCCACCTGTGCTAAACCTCCTGGCAAGCAGAGTCATGCATTCTAGAGGGAAGAGGGAAGTCAGCCGTGTACCTGAGGGCATCTCCTCTGCAGAGGTAGTCCAGCTTGCCTCCTGGGCCAGTTCCTTCAGGAGCCTCCGGCGCATCTGCCTTTTCTCCCTTAGGACGTTCTTGAAGTTGTTGATGCACTTGTTCAAGTAGATGGTCTCCGCGCACACCTTCTCTAGGCTCATGGGCCGGCACCCGTTGGGCTGCGCAGGCCCCGAGGACAGGGGCTCCGGCGCGCAACCCTCGGCGTCCGGAAGCTTGCCTCCTGGGCCAGTTCCTTCAGGAGCCTCCGGCGCATCTGCCTTTTCTCCCTTAGGACGTTCTTGAAGTTGTTGATGCACTTGTTCAAGTAGATGGTCTCCGCGCACACCTTCTCTAGGCTCATGGGCCGGCACCCGTTGGGCTGCGCAGGCCCCGAGGACAGGGGCTCCGGCGCGCAACCCTCGGCGTCCGGAGGGGGTGTCGGAACAGAGGCGGGGGCCTCATCGAGGGACGGCGACCCAGCGGGAAGAGCCCCCCGCCCTGCCGGAGCCACGCTGTCGCCGCTCAGGGCAGTGTTCGCCTGGCTCTCGGAAGACGGGCTCGGGGGGCTGTCAGCCGAGTTCTCCAAGTTGCTGTGGGTGCTTGAGCTGCAGAGGGCCGGGGGTGTCTCATGCGCCGCGTGGAAGCTCTTGTCGGCCTCCAGGAGGACGTCGGGGTCCCCGGTCTCGAGCTTGTGGAACACCACCTGCAGGGCCGACCGGAAGTGGCTCAGGGCTTTCCCCAGCTTGTTGGTGTAGAACCTGACATCCACGAGGTCCAGGCTGTCCCGTGAATGCTCCAGGAAATACTGGGAATTCTCCAAGACGTCCCTGAAGACCTGCTCCGTCGGGTCTTGCTCGTTCAGGTCGATTTGGATCATGTCCTTGAGGGTCTCGCTACTTCCCACCAACTTGCGCACAGCACTCTCGCATCCTGGCAGGGTCACCACAGGGGCGGGCGGCGCTTCCTCCAAGAGGCTGCCCTGCTCGGGGCTGAGGAACTCCAGGGTGCTGGCATCGCCGTCCGTCTCGCTCTCCCCTGGGGGGGTCGGCCCTCCTGCCTTGTCCTCCTCCTCCACCGGGAAGGAGCTCTCCCGTCCGGCATCGGCCGCCTCGAGGGCACGGCCCTCGTCCTCACTCACGGCGGGCTCCTGGCCCACGACGACGCTGAATCCCTCTGTCAACGACCGCCCATTCTGCCCATGGGGTTTAGGCCGGCAGCCTCCCGGCGGCTCAGGGGAGGCATTGAGGTGCCAGGAGGGTGTGGTGCTGTCGGGCAGAGGATGCTCGTTCCTGACCATTCTCGGCCAGCCCCCGCCGGTGGGTTCTCTGGGTTCAGTTCTGTCACTGCCCTCCCCAGCGAAGGTGGATTCATGCTGAGTGCTAAACGCCTCCTCTCCTCCGTGAACCTCCTGGCTTGCGTCCTCCTGCGGGCCCTGGCCAGAGTCCAGCTGGAGCTGTCCATCTCCGTCTGTCCTGACCACGTCCCCGTGAGGAGCCCCAGAGTCCCAGGGGGCTGGTCCCTGGCCAGGGGAAGGCCTGGTGTCCCGCTGCCCTTCAAGGCGACCTCCGTGGTCCTTTGGGTGGCTCTGCTCGCCACGGGCAACGACAACGCCCACCCTCTGCAGGAGGATTGATTTCTGAAGAATGAAGTCCCGCTGGGCCTCGTCGGCCAGTCTCACCACAGCCGGGCGAGGCGCTTGGGGGACTCCGGGGGAGCCGCTGGACCGGTAAGCCTCCTGGATGTACCGGCCGCGGTGGATGCCGTTGAAACACTGGTACTCCGACAGGAAGCTGCAGATCAGCTCCTTGGTGTTCTCGCCCTCTCGCTCCGGGATGCCATAAAAATACAAGACCGGCTCTTCCTTGCAAAGGCAGGGAGGCTCCCGGAGAGACCCTCTTCTGGCCTTTGGCCCGGCCGAGGTCCTGCTGGAGGAACCGCCGCTGCTGCTCTGAAGGCCTTCAATCTCGCTCAAGACGGTGTCGACGCAGCTGGAGACTTCGTCCACCGACCCCTTGATCAAGGTGAGGTGCTGCTGGAGTTCCGCGATCTCCGTCTGGAGGCGGCTGATCCCTTGCAGCTCTTTCACAATGTAGTCGATGACATCCACTGAGCGGTCCCTGGCCGGGGGCCTGTAGGAGAGGCAGGCGGGCGGCTTGCTTGGGGGGCAGGGCCCCTCCCTCTCCTCAGGGCCCCGCCTCCATCCTGGGCTGGGGCAACGGCTCTGGAGTTCCCGCAGCCCCTCGGAGGCCAGGAGCTCGGGCACCCCCTCCAGGTCGCACGGGCTCTGCCGAACCGAGGGCCGCGCCGTTCTGAGGCACCCAGCCCAGCTCAGCGGCACCTCGTCCACCCTCTCTTTCCCGGCCTCCCAGCCTCCGCCGGTCTTCCCCCGAGAGAGGGCGAACTCCGTGCTGGTGGATTTCCTCTTGATCCTGCAGACGCAGGGGTCTGCTTCCATCTCCACCCGAGAATGGGCCAGGAGGTGACCCTGGTCCAGGGAGAGGTCGCTGCCGGGCCCCCGGGCCAGCTTCTTCATCCTCCCCTCCAAAGCCAGCTGGCACTGCCTCGGCTTCTGGAGCCGCTGCCTGGCTACGTTTCACAAGGGACTCCTTAAGGACAAGCGGTCCTTCGCCTCCTGAATCCGGGCCCCCATGACTGGGGCGCATCATCCATGGCCCCTCGGCTTCTCTCTCACATCACCCAATCACAAAGCAGGAGTAGGAGCCGCTGCCTGAGTGGGACGGCCTCAGTCAAGGCTTAAGATGCACCGGAAGCTGTTGTCAAGAGAAGGGACAGAGACACTGCATTTCGGTGGTGGAGGGGCTCGTCACACACACACACACACACACACACACACACACACACACACACACACAGAGTGTAGCTTTGGCCCCAGAACCAGAAGAATCTGACCCACCCAACACAACGCAGGCCAATCTGCGCCTTCCTCTTGGGAGAAAGGTGGCAGCCTGTGAATAAAGCAAACAAATAAACGATGATGATCATCCGCTGCTCCGTCTCAGCCCTGTGACCGAAAGCTGGGCCTCAGCCCCCTGGACACACACACACACACACAGAGTGTAGCTTTGGCCCCAGAACCAGAAGAATCTGACCCACCCAACACAACGCAGGCCAATCTGCGCCTTCCTCTTGGGAGAAAGGTGGCAGCCTGTGAATAAAGCAAACAAATAAACGATGATGATCATCCGCTGCTCCGTCTCAGCCCTGTGACCGAAAGCTGGGCCTCAGCCCCCTGGGGAGGGATCTGCCTGCCTGCCTGCCTGTCTCTCCGGATCCCCGGCCCTCCTCTTCTCCCACTCCCACTCCGACTGAGAGAACGGCAGGCCTCCTACTCTCCAGACGGCTGTTTTGACAAAACTGAACCCTCGCGGGTGGCAGCAGCTCACGCCTAGTAGGAAGAACGTCCTTGCTCGTCCTGTTTCGGGACCCTGAGAGAACGAGAGACACAGCCTAAGAAGCAAAGAGATGGGACTGCTTGGGGGGGGAAGAACCTTTTGCTCCCTTCGCCATCAACGTAAGGGCTCATTTCTTGCAAGAGGGGTTTGAGGTTTCTCTCCGCCTGGACCTCTGGATTCTGAAATGCGGGTAAAGAGAGGCAACCGACCAGGAGGGAGAAGCTGCAAAGCTGGTATTTACACCCGTGCACTGTACACTTTAGATACAATTTCTCCGCCATGAGCACCTATCAACCAGTACAGAATCGAATTTTAATTATGAGGGAAAGGAGGTGGGAGGGAGGAGGAGAGGGGATGCTGTCCTGGGGTGCTGAGGACAAGAGGAGAGCCCACGGGCAGCAGTGTGCGGGTTGCAGGCTCCGTGGAGCCCACAGACAGAAGCAGTGCCTTGCTTTTCTGTTGAATCATTTCCCCTTCCGATCATGCTCTAATGAGCTGGGTTTTTCCATAGCCTCTGATTCATCTCCGCTACTTACTGGGGTGAGTTTATTCCTCCCTCATCAGTCCTTTTTTAAAACAAAACCCCGGCATCAGAGCTGCCTGTCTCCTGGACACGCTTTTGGGCTTACAGATGACTTTCGATAAATCATTGCATAATTCCGTTTCTCCTGTTCCCCTCCAGTATTCATTTATATAGGATGCTCTTCTATTTTCCTCAGATTTCTTGAACATCTTATCAACTGGATTCACTGTGTATTGCGGTGCAGTGGTTAAATTGCAGTACAGCAGTCAAGCCTCTGCTCACAACTTCCGTTCACTCCTGACAGGCTCAGGTATCCATCTCAAGGCCGGCTCAGCCCTTCATCTCTCCAAGGTTGCCAAACTGACCTCGGCCCATTCCACCACAATGGAACCCATGACCTCGAGAGATGGGGGGGGTGAGTGTTCCAACGCTGGAGGCCTTCAGGAGAAAACGGGACCACCCTCTGTCATCATCTGCTTTGATTCGATGGCCTTCGAGGTGCCTTTCCAGCTCCATCAGTCTACGATTCTATGACAATTACGTTGACACACTTTCCAAGACGCTCAATTAATCTCATTCTGTCAGACTTAGGATAGCCCCTGACTTCTTGGGCTACGTCTTGCTTCATTATTAAAGCGAGCCTGCATCTTCTGAGCGTGACATTCTCCAGGTAAACGCTATGCAATTATCTGGTTGAAAATGCCCTTTCCCCCTCTCTATTTCAGTACCGCTATGATTAAACATTCCATTCCTTGCCTTCTGGTTCTGAGCTGGGTTGATCCATACTTCTAACATTCCTTTGGCTCCTGTGCATATCAGCAGCAGCTAGCCACCCCTTTTGGTTCCAATCCAGTTGCTTCATTAGTTGCAACACTATTCATATTCATCCTCCATGCTTCCCCAGTACCTGAGAAAGTGCTTTCTTACCTGGGATCCTCGCCTTCCAGCACTATCACTTGTTTTATTTTTGCCTGTTTCATCACAAAGTATTTGAGATATACAGCTTCCTCTATGGAGTCAATCTATCTGCTGCTGGTCTTCTTCTTTTCCTACTGCCTTCAACTTTTCCTTGCATTATTGATATTTTTTTTTCCAGTGAGCCTTGTCTTCTCATAATATGCCCGCAGTAGAATAGCCGCAGTTTAGTCATTTTTTGCTTCTCAAGAGAATCCAGCACGCACCTCATGCAGCAGCAACAAGAGAACATTCCTTTAGGGATTCTGATCAGCCTGTGGTCCACAGGCTTGTTTACTTTTTCCTTTTTCCCTCTGATAATATGCTTAGAGGGCACAATGCAAAGCTTAAACATACACAATACAGATGAGTAGATCGAGATGCGCCCTGGAGGCAAGTTTACCTCCTTTTAAGAAGAAGGAACAAACAAACAGGCACTAGAGCTGAATGTGCCACACATTCATGACCCTGGATTGTTCAGAAGGTGCCAGGAGGCGTTTCCTATCGAGCAGCTCCTCAGAGAGACAGCCGTGTTGCCCTGCAATATCTCATTCCTTTTCAGGGCACATCAATTATGGTCTCGCCATTTCAGCCCTCCCAGCAAACGGCAATTCATTTCCAGCAGCTCAGACCTAAGTGACTCCTAACTGACTGAGCCCATTAGAGCGCACACGACAGGACAGGAGACTGAGACCGCACTCGCTCATTGGCAACCTTTCCGTCTGAAGCGTGGGTGCAAAAATTCCAATCACGTTGCAAGGAACGGGGGGGGGGCGCTTGAGTCCACAGCCTCAAGAGGACTTTTGAAACCTGAGCCCCCTGAGATTGCCTCTCACAGACATTTACCATTCATTTTTGGACTCTTGCCCACAATTTTTCTGCGCTATCCCTGAACGGGTGGTGCCCAACCTGACAAAATGGAATTTCCTCCACGGAAGCTTGCAATCTGCTTGATTTTTCTCGTGGTCCAGCAAAAGGCATTACCCACTCCGGCCTTTGTGTGATCAGGACAGCAGTGTGAGGCTCAAACACCAGCTGCTCCCTAGGGGAGGGTCCTGTGACGAAGCAAGCCAGGCAACAAGGGGGTGGGGAGGGGGTGGAGGAGGAGGGTACTGGCCGCATTTCCAACTTACAGCTTGCACGGACAGCCTGTCCAACTCAAAGGCTCGGAGTGGGTAAAAGAGAGCAAGTAAATCCATTCCAACTTGTTAGTTCCCAAACATCATTCAATCCTGGCCCCTAAAAGGCAGGCAAGCATTCATCTCTTCCTGAAATGCGTGAAAACTGACTTACAGTGACCCTGACAGGGTTTTTGACGTAAGTGAGATATTTAAGGCACGGTTTTACCCTTTACTCTTCCTGAAATGCGTGAAAACTGACTTATAGTGACCCTGACAGGGTTTTTGACGTGAGATATTTAAGGCACGGTTTTACCCGTTCCGTCCCAGCCAGGGAGTTCCCATGGCCCAGTGGGGGATTCGAATCCTGTTTTCCAGAATCCTAAACCATCACTCTATCCATTATGGCACACAGAGAATCTCAAATTTCTGAAGCCGCTTATATTCTATGTAAGTAACAGAAGCCTTACAAAATCACCAGAGAATGAAACTCTATAATTATGGGATGGCACCGCGAGCTTCTCTTTCTACCTTTCCTTGAGCCCTAAACGCTCTCAATGGATCCTGAGCTGCTGATCAAATGGCTCACGCAGCCTTGGCAGGCACGTCACACCCATGCCTAGCTGGCAGGCCACCGTAGCCACCCATGGAGAAGAGTGACGTGCAGGACCCAGTCTCTCTGAGTTGTGTGCCTTCATCTTGAGTCTCTCCCCAGCTTCCATTTCCCTCTCACAGAATCCGAGAAGGCAGGACAAAACGGGCCACGTGTAAAGCAGAGAGGCTTCTCCCCCCACCCCACCCCACCCCGGCTGTTCTCGGCGCACAGAGCAAATGAGGCGACGGCCACCAAGCCCACTCTGAAGGCACGTGGACCCAGTGCAAGGTATTTGGCATCAAGGCTCCAAACAGTTCAGCTGGACTTTTCAGGAGGAGCGGCAAAAGGCACCGTGAGCCACAATGCTGTGCAGCCTCTCTTGCACGGCTTCACAACTGCAGGGCGTTCAATGAAAAGGGCTCAAAGCAGGTCTCAAGAGTATTTATTTGGGGCTTGTGGGGTGGGGGCTCCTAAGGAGACATGCTGTGCCCTTGGTGCCTCGTCTGGGAGTTTCCTCGAAGAATCAGGTGGGCTGGAGATGGAGGCCAAAGCAGCAGGTCAGGCGGGACTCCCTGTAATGAATTCCGTGAGCCAATTCTCTTCCTGGCATGAGAGAGAAAGCCAGGGAGAGAAAGCGCGCAGGAAGGTTGCTATGGCAGCTCTTCTCGACATGATATAACACTGAGACTTGCCGGGAAGTCTTACATGGCACCTTTCATCATCACAGAGTAGGACGGCACGTGTCTTAAAGAAGGCCGTCTTAGCGTGCCTGGAGGGTGATGATGCCGCTTTCTTGGCAGGATCATCTCTGGAGGCTGGCAAGCTGCACTTCCAATTTGCAAGCGCATATTACGCGTGCAGAGCGATGACACTTCCAAAGGGCTGCTTCCATCATTGTGGTTTGCTTCCCAATATGGTTGTTTTCCAAAGCTTGATCTGCCTATGAGCCAGGGTGAGTGTCGGGCACTGAAATATGCATCGTGCTTCTGAATGATTCAAGTCTGGAGCGTTATCACCAAACCTTGGAAGACGGAGAACTGAACGCGAGCTCTCATTAAACATGAACAGCAGATTATAAGATGTTAACCTCCAAAATGGAACAACTGCTCAGGTCCCAAGGTCAGGACCCACTCCGGCTGCAGAAGGAAGGCAGGAGGGATAAATGGCGAACCGGCCTGTGCTGCCGTCCACCCCCAAGAGGATCGAGGGCTCCACAGCCGCTCCAGACGGGCGCAACCTCCCAAGCGGAGGAATTTATTGGAGCCACAGGGGCCCAAGGCTAAACCACAGCGTTGCACCCGGTGTCCTGTGTGAAGCTGGGTGAGACAGTGGAAGGCAGACGCCTGGCAAGGGAGGGCCCCTGGGCAGGTGAATGACAGGAAGAGGGGACACACACACACACACACAGACACACAGAGGCAGAAAGGTACTGACCACGTTGCTCCACCTAGCGTGAGAGAGAGAGAGAGAGAGAGGCAGAAAAGGTACTGACCAAGTTGCTCCACCTAGCGCGGCCAACCCTAGACAGTTCCCTCCGGAACGGAAAGGAAGCCGCCTGGGGAGGGAAAAGAAAACCCCTTCGGCTCCCCTCCAGCCCACAGACGGCTTAATTCCCGAGGATTTTCCACCTCCTCATTTCAGTTGTTCCTTATCTTAAAGCTGACAATCTTCCTGTAACTTGGGAAAAGGGAGAAGCCCTTGCAACGGCTGACGTGACCCTCCAACCCTTTTATCCACGGGAAGCTCTGTGGAAGAGCGAGAACGCTTTCAAAAGCCAGAGGCAAGAACCAGCAGGTCCGTCTCCTTCTTCCACAAGCTGAACCTGGGTGGGAACGAAGGAAGGGCGCAGGTGACCCAGCCCCACCCAGCGCACGGACCTGCCTGTGCCGTGGTAGGTGGAGGCGGAACTTAAGGGCATGGGGTGCAGGACCGATCTTGGCAACTGAGAGGGGGCGGCCGAAGAGCCCACCAGCCATCAGATCCCTCCAGGCAGACGAGGCCATTCCTACCGACCCCCAAAGCCAGTGCTCCCTGGGAGAAAGTGGGTCGGTGTGAACCTCTTCTTGAGGAGCAACCTACAAGCCTCTTTGGGGCTCCCTGAAATTCCAGCAAAGCTTTGCATGGCTTCAGGAACCAGAGCTATCTGGGCCAAGGGAAAAGTCGAGGAAAAACACCTTTCGGCTACTAAGCCAAAGACACAAACGAAGGAACGAAGGACGCATTCTCTGGGTAAATCTGAAACGGCAGACAAGAGAACAGAAGGAGGAAAGTAAGTGGGTGCCTGCCGCTCGATTTACTAAGGAACCTGTTCAGATCCACAGGAAGGAATCTCTCCGAGGGCCAGCGGAGACAGGAGGCAGCCTTTCCTCTTTGTTCCTCCAGAGGATTTGATGTGCTTTTCCTAACCTAACCGATGTGAAACCCTGACATACTGGTTGGAGTGCGCCAGGGAGGCCGCTTAGCCCGGCAAGAACCGGAGACCTTGCAGTCCTGGGAGGAAACAAGGATGGTGGTGGTCCCAATCCTTCCCCGCCCGTTTCTTAGCCTTCCCTCTGCCACCTGGCTCTGCTGTTTCCCACTTTAGCTCCTACAGAACCAACGGCTCTGCCAGACGACTCCTGGCATACGGAAAGCTTCAGCACGCAACCTGCAGAAGAGGCACCTCTGCCAGCGAAGACCACCTACAAAAAGGGATACAGTAAGCGGCTCCTGGTGACAAGGAGTGGAGGCCTCTTGTGCAAACCATGTGCGAGGCTTCCAGGTGTGTGTGTGTGTGTGCGTGTGTCCACGTTCTAACTGTGCTCCTGGCCTGAACTGTCTGAAGAAACAGGCTGAGCTCCAGAGAAGCTCTGCCATTCTGAGACCTTGCAGGAGGCAGTGGAAGGGATCGGCTCCTGTCCCTTTGTCAAGACAAGAAGTCTGATATCTCCTAGCAGGGGGTGCCAGGACGCTGCCACAACCACACCCACACCCGAGGAGCACACCTTCGTATGAAGCCATTTCCACGCAAGAGAATCTCCAAGGCTCAGCAGCCCAGCTGCAACCAAAGCTGCCTCCAACCACCTGGCCTGGGGGGGGGGGTTTCATCCAAATGGCCAAGCAACAGACCCACCCGGTGACTTTCACGGCCAGCGATTGCACTGCCTGCTCTCTGTGGATCCTCTTTGGGTGGGGGTCATCCCTCCTGCCTCGCTTGGCTAGCTGGCAGAGAGCGGCAGGCTGGACAAGGGGCCTTCCCTGCACCCCCCTCTCTCCATCCACGCCAGAGCGCCTGCCACCAGCTCGCTGCCTGCCAGGGGCTGCCCGTTATTCCTCCACATCCGGCCAGCGGGCGCTGGGGAAGAGTCCAGTTTGGGGCCAGGCCAAAGTGAAAGGGGCTCCCGCTGCTCCCTTGGATCCCACCCACTCACCCACCGCCAGGGTGCAGAAAAGCCCCAGGTCTGCATTTCACGTCCAGGATGGGGTTTCAGTGACTTGGTGACTAAAGCGTTCTCTTTGGCCCCAAGGCCCGGACAGGATCCAAGCGCTCTCCCGACGACGGAGTGTCTCCGAGGCTCCGCGCCAGCCGAAACCACCGGCAGGCAGTCTGGAAGAGCGAGAGTGAGCGGGAGGAAAAGATGATGCTTCCCATTCAGAGCCGAGCAGAAAACGCCTGCCTGCCGACCGGGATCTGCCGGCAACCGAGGCGCTCGCTCGCTCGCTGGCTCTCGCACGCACACGCACCCGCACACACGCGGGTTGTATTCCTCCAAGCCTGAGGAGAGTCACCTAATCAGTGAAACACGCTCACTCGCTCTCTCTCCCGCACACACGCACACGCACACACGCGCGCAACGAAGCCCCAAAGTCTCCCCTCCGAAGCCTTCTCGGTGCCGCGCACCGTCCGCTCCTCCTCCGCGAGGCCGCCCCGCAACTTACCTCCTCGCCGCTTCCGACACGAACCCCCGCAAAGGGATTCAACAGAGAAAGGGACTCGGGGAAAAGCCCCGCCAAGCGCAGAACGAGGGGCTCCGGGGGTCCCGAGGCCCAGAGAAGGGGGGGGCGCACGGACCGAGGTCTTCCCAGGGAGCAGCCAGGCGCCCGAAGCCCCCCCCCGGGCTGCCCGGGGTCAAGGGGGCAGCGGGGGGGCACCTGGAGGGCATTGGATGGGTAAGTGCTGCTTTCTGCTTTTTAGAAACTGCCTGTTCAAGGTGGGTTTGGCAGGGTACGTTTGGGTTGGGGGGTATGTTTCTGTGTTGTGTGTTTTTTTGGCGATTAATTTTTTTACAGTCCCAGCGTGGGACTTGCAGTGTTTTATTTAAATGTTTAATTTTTGTATTTTTTTATTCCCTGGAATGCATTAATAATGTTTGGTGAATACTAGGGATGTAAACTGTCTTTGGATAAATGTGTAAATATGAACCAAATCAGGAGTGTTTCTGGAGCAACACAGGGCAGAACAGAGCTGAGACACATTCCCAGGAGAGAGAAGCACACACAGGGATCCCTCATGTATTCATGTGAAAGGGAAAGAAAAAGTAAGAATGCTGCTGAGGTGGTAAAAAAAGAGAGGAAAGTCTTTACAGAGAAGGAAAGTTTTTAATCTTAGGAATGAACCCGTCATTACTTTTCTAGTGTAAAATCATTGATCAGATCATCAAAGTCTGTGGCCACAATACTACTGATTTTATATCTGGGGAGCAGGAAAGGTGAGAAACAGTGAGAAAGGACAAAAAATGTAGAGGAGGGTCTCCCTGCAATGCCCTTTCAAGAACGAATCAAAGAAGAGTGTGCTCATTAAAGTCTCTTCAAGGATCTTTTAAAGTCCTTCACCTCTCTCCTTAGGACATGAGTGGGACTTTCTGTCGCGCGCGCGCGTCCTCTCTTCCCCCCCCCTCCCCGCACTCCCACCCCCAGTTCGAAACCTCGCGCAGAGCTTTGGCAGGCTTTCCATCGCCCTTCTCCGCTTGCCAGTTTTCACGGACTTGATGTCCCCGGTTGGGTTGCTGTCGAAACTGCTCTCATTTTCATTCAACCCGGGGAGTTTCATTTGGAAACCTCCTGAGGTGACCACAAGGCAAGGCGGAAACCTCCGCAGAAAGAAAGCAACGGGAAAGCGGGGGGGGGGGCGCTTTTTCCTCTGCCCCCCC